CGGGTCCCGGCCCCCCCCCCGGGTGCGGCGCGGATCTGACCCGGCGGTGTCCGTCGGAGTTGAGAGTGGAGGGCGGCGGCGCCTGCCAGAGCGCGTGCGGCGCGTTTGGGAAAGCTGAGTATTGCTGCAACGGTGCGTTTAGTAACCCTTCCACGTGTAAGCCTTCTGTGTACTCGCAAATTTTCAAGTCCGCATGTCCCAAAGCCTATAGTTATGCCTACGATGATGCCACCAGCACCTTCACGTGTTCCGGCGCTGACTACACCATCACATTTTGTACCTCTTCACCCAGGTATATTACTATTTAAAAACTTTGGTTTAGTACAATGTTTTGTGATTCTTATTAATATAAGATGCTAAGTGATTGAGATATATTTTTTGCAGTTTAAAGTCTTCCACGGATTCGAGTCCAATGGGAACAGATTCGGGTTCTTCGGTCGAGCAATCTGAATTAGCTTCTACTTCGTGGCTAGCGGACATGGCTACGGCTACGGCTACGGCTACAGGGGGTGCGACCCAAACACGGCCTTATGGTACATCAAAGGTTTCCTTATGGATGGTGGTTGTTTTCATTGTTTCTCTTTTGGTCGATTAGTTTGTGGGTCCCTCTCGTAGTGACCTCTCAGCGGCATCCTTATCTTCCTCTCCTTTCACACAGACACAAACACGATGATAACATTGATATGTAGTGATGAAAATAAGTAATATTTTTAAGATTGCTAAATTATGTAATATGTGAATTATAAAGTACTAATAATTAAGCGTTTCAATCATTTGTTGCGGGTTATTCTGTTGGTTGAGGTGAGTTCTTTAATTGTGAGCCTTTGGAATTGGAGGGTAGGGTAGGGTAGGGTAGGGTGTGGAATGACGTAAATGCTCTTGATTAAAATGGGAACAAATAAGAACCAAGTTGTCGTTTAAGTTAGTGGGTTATGAGGCCCATCACCTTTTTTCTCACTACTACTAGCCCTTAGCTACAAAATTGACAAAAGGATTGTAACCAATGACCAACCACACCAACTCAAAATAAATAAATAAATAAAATGGGACATTAATTCCGAATGGCACCACTTCTCACTTCTCAGGCATCCATTATTTTCACAGATTCACCGTTGGCAGATTTTAATGATTTGCGGGAAATAAAAATAGTGCATATATATACATAATAATTTATTAATATTTTTTTAATAAGTCAGTGCTTGTTGAAGATCAAAGAAATTATTAGAATGAATGTTATTTTTATTGAAAAGTTAACTAATAAAACGATTGAATTTTTTAAAAAATATTGTAATTTAGTTTCCTGAGAAAATAAATTACTATATAAAAATTTAACATTTTTAAAAATTATCTTTGATATGTTACTTTTATTTTTGAAAGTAAATATTAAATTTATATGCTTTTCTATATATATAAAAAATATTTCATGCTATGTGCTTTAAATTTATGTAGATAATAAGTTAATAACGGTCAATTAATTATAAGAAAACATTTTTTTTATTTTGCATAAACAATGATAAAATAATCATAATAAGTATTTTTATAAATAATAACAGAATATAGTATTGAAATAATTTCATTTTTATCGCATTAAATAATATCATAGTAATTTAATTTAAATAATAATATATAAATTATTATGATTATATAATATTATATAAATAAATAAATTATATTGAAATTATGTATTATAGCATTA